CCCCCTCCGGCCCTGCCGCCCCGGGCGTCGCTTCCTGTCCTCCGGCCAAGGTTCGGGAGGCGGGCTCCCTGCCAGGCGGCTGGCCTTGGCCCGGGGCGCTCGCGGCTGCGCCCGGCGGGAGGGGGCAGATCCTGTCGTTGGCGCGGCCATGGGCTCCAGCGGCTCCCGCGCGTCTCAGATCCCCGACGCCGACAGCCTTCGGCGGGAGACGGGCTGTGAGCGGGGCGCGCGGGGCGGGGGGGCAGCGGCGGGATCCGGGGGACGGGGCGGAGGGGCGCGCGAGCCCCCGAGATCCGAGATCCAAGAGTGGTCGCGGGCCGGGGCTCCGTATCCTGGGGGCCCCGGAGTCCAGGTTTGAGGCGGGGCCGGTTCCCGGGCTTGGGGACCCCCAGGTTTGGATGGAGGAGGTCGGTTTTGGTTCCCTGGTTTCCCAGAGAGGAGCGGGGGGCGTGGAGAGCCTCCTCGGGGCTCATCGGACCCCCTCCAGCGTCCAGCTGGCCCCAGGCGTCACCCTCCGCCCTCCGCGCCCCTCCGCCCCACCCCAGTCTCGCAGGCCTGCCTGCTGCGGCTTCACCGCAGATTTCAGAACCTGGACAGCAACAAGAAGGGCTACCTGAGGTGGGGCCCCACCCCTAGCACCCCTCTGTCTCTCTGACCTCCCCGCCCCGCCGCGCGTTGACCCTGTACCGTCCACCTTCGCCCCATCTGCTTTGAACTTCCTTTCCAGCCGAGTGGATCTGCAGCAGATCGGGGCGCTGGCCGTGAACCCCCTAGGGGACCGCATTATAGACAGCTTTTTCCCTGAAGGGTGAGGCCTCGCGGGCTGGGGCAGGAGATAGAGGGAAAAGCCTGGCGGGAGGGGAGAGGTTGGGGACCAAGGCAGAGGGAGGGCTCGCGTGACCACTGCCTCCCCCGCCCCCACCAGGAATCTGAGAGTGGACTTCCCGGGCTTCGTCAGGGTCCTGGCACACTTCCGACCTGTAGATGACGAGGGCACCAGAACCCGGGGCCCCGATGAGCCCGAACCCTTCAACAGCAGAATGAACAAACTCCGCTGTAAGCTGGTGGGGTCCCCCAAAGCGAGACCCCAGAGTTACCACACCAGTGAGAGGCCCAAGGCAACTCCCCCCGCCATGAGCCTGTTGAGGACCTCCCTACTCCTCCGGGGGGGCCCTCTGCTGGGGGGGGAGCCGGGGAGATCCACCTTCCTTCCCCGCTCCCCAGTTGCATTTCAGCTCTACGACCTGGACAGGGATGGGAAGATCTCACAGCAGGAGATGCTGCAGGTTGGGAGAACAGCACAGATGTGCCGCGCCCATGGGGGGGAAGTTTGGCTGGCGATTGGGGTGTTGGGTGGGCAAAGGCCATGGGTGGGGCTGGAGTGTGGGTTCACTGGGAGATGGGGCAGGCAACAGTTGGGTATGACATCGGGGAGAGGTCAGGATCCCCCACTGGGGGCGATTTTGCTCGCTGAATGACACTGGCAATATCTAGAGACATTTTTAGTTGTCACGACTGGGGAGGGGCCGGCACAGCAGGCCCCCAGTGGGGGAAGGTGAGGAACGCTGTGAAACGTCTCACGACACACAGGGCAGCCCCCTCCCCCCGCGAACGGAATTGTCCGGCCCCAAGAGTCCGTGGTGCTGAGACGGAGGGGCTCTGGGGCAGATGCGAAGCGGGGGGTGGCTTTGAGGGTAGCTGTAGAGCAAGGCGGGAATGGGGCTGAGGACAGATGGAAGTTAGGCCCTAAGGCTGGGGTTGAGCAATGAGCCTGGGCACATTGTCGAGGTGAGTGTGGGACAGAGATGGACAGTCGGGGATTCGGACAGAGAAGCTACGGGGGGAGTTATCGGCAGGTATGGTGGCAAGTGATGGGAATGGGGTCCAAAATGAATGAAGGATGGATTGCAAAATTGGGAATAACTTTTGGGGTGACATGGGCCAGGTCTGGGGGACGAAGCCCGTTGTCCCTGTGCCTCCTCTTTCTGGCCGTCCCCTCCTCCGCCTCTCAGGTGCTCCGGCTGATGGTCGGGGTCCAGGTGACAGAGGAACAGCTGGAGAGCATTGCCGACCGCACGGTGCAGGAAGCCGATGACGATGGGGACGGGGCCGTGTCCTTCCTGGAGTTTGCCAAGGTCAGAGCGCCCTCGGGGCCCGGGGAGTTGAGGGCAGGAGATCCGAGCACCGATGGACGATGGACGGGGCACAAAGCCGGAAGGAGGGAGGCAGACAGAGAGGGACTCCAGGGAATGGCAGGGCCTTGGAGGCCGGAGAGGAGGCTGGAAGCTCAGGGGTTCGGAGAATTCAAGTGCCCTTGACTAGCACCCGTCTCCCCCAGTCCTTGGAGAAGATGGACATCGAGCAGAAAATGAGCATTCGGATCCTGAAGTGACCTTCCTGCCCAGGGCTGCCTGGGATTCAGCCTCAGCCCCCACGGAGACGCAGCCCCAAAACACTGCGCTGGCTGTTCTACGCCCGACCCTGTTCGGGCCCAAAGAGAGAAAGCCAGATTGGGGGGCGGGGGGAGGGTACTCACTCATTTGACCTCAGATCTGTGAATCGGCCAACAATCTTCCGGTTGCGAGTGATTGAAACCCCAAATCAAAGGGACTTGGGTTCGAAAAGGGATTTTACGGGCTCACCTAATGATAAAGTCTGGAATTGTCTTCAGAATACCGGAAAAGCGTGGGCGTGTCTTCATGCGCAGCCGCATCCACGGGCTCGGAGGGCGCTCCCTGGGCTCGGCCACTCTCCCTCGCTCGGCCCAGATTCCCTCTGTGCCGGCTTCGTTCTCGGGGGCTCTCACCTCAGGGTGGACAGTGGCCTCCAGCAGTGCCAGGTTTCCATCCCGTTAGCCCTGTAATCCAGCGGGGACAGAATTTCTTTCTCAATACTTCTAAGAAAGGAGTGTCATTAGCTCAACTGGGGTTTGTCCCTTCTCTAGGGGACTGGAACGTTCCAATCGGTAAGTGTTCCTGTGCTAACTGCTAGAGCCAGGAAATAGGGCCTGAGGATTCAGGATGGGGTAAGAGATGGTGGCTTAAAGGTCAAAGCTATTAGCAGGAGAAGGGGAATTGGCGCCTGGCCGGCCAAACAGAGCTTTCGTTACTGCTAAGTCCCCCCGACGGAGTCGTGAAGTCTGGCTTTTCAGGCGGGTTTTTGCTGATCCCATGGGTGTGTGACAGTGTGATGGGGAGGAAGGGGAGAGAGGTGACAGGAAAAGAGCCAACGAGACACGCCGTCTTAGAGCAGGACATAATTCAAAGGTTTGCAGAGTAATTCCGTTGTTTAAAAATGTTAAGATGTTCCAACGTTGACATGACACAGCAAGAGCGTAAAAGTCACATAAAATCACGAGGGTCTAGGTCCGTAGCAAAGCATTCCGGCGCTACCTATGGGAGGTGCTGTTGGTGTCCTGCCCATGTCCCCGCCCGGGGCTGTGCCCGAGTCGTCTTGCATTAACACGTGAGAGCTGCTTGTGGCGCTCACATCCTTCTAACTCCGCTTTCCGTGACGTCCCACTGGCAGCTTGAAACTGGCTGCAGTGGGAAAAAATAAGCCAGAGATGCAAGAGGCCAGGGCCGTCCGCTTAGGAGAGCCCGATGCTCAGCCTTTGTCAGCTTCCCGGCGTTCACAGACAGCATGCACGCCAGGGGCTCCCCCACAGCTCGACTGAGCTGTGCAGAAAACTGCACGGCGTCTACGGCCACGCCACCCTGGACACGCCCGATCCCGTCTGACCTCGGAAGCTAAGCAGGGTCGGGCCTGGTTAGTCCTTGGATGGGAGACCACCTAGGAAGACCAGGTGCTGTAGGTGTAAAAAATAAAAAACAAGGGATTGTAAGCCGGCAAGGTCCTTGCAATCTGTGAGGTCCACCAAGGGTTGCCTCGCCTAAAAAAAGCGAAACAAAACAAACAGAAACTGCATGTCATTAATGCGTACAGTCGGATGCGTTTGAACGTAATCGAGGTGATAAACACAACCAGCATCTCCAAAAATTTCCTCGCATCCCCTTGTTTTTTAGGATTTTTTTTTTTTTTTGGCATTTGTGTGGTAAGAACACTTACCGTGAGATCTACCTGCGTAACCAAATTTCGAGTGTACAACCCATGAGTCCCGGAACCAGCCTTGCGTAACTGGGACATTGTGCCCAGTGGGCAGCAGCCCCTGCGCCCTTCCCCCCACCCCGGTAGCCAGCATTCTGCGGGCCACTTCTACGCGTCCGGCCGTTTTTAGAGGTCTCACGTGAGCACGATCATGCCACAGTGCCTCCCGCGGCTATTTCACTCGGCATAACGCTTCCAGGTCCATCCGGGTTGTCACGCGTGGCAGGGTTTTCTTCTTTTTGAAAATAGAATGATATTCCGTTGTTCATATACCTGGTGATGGACGTTTGGGGTGTGCCTGTGTCGTGGCGATTGTGAATAATGCTGTGATGATCATGGGAGTGCAGATATCTCTTTGAGAGACTTTAATTTCATTCCTTTGACATAGGCGAGAAGTGGTGTTGCTGGATCTCGTGGTGGTTCTGTTTTAATTTGGGGGGAAATTTTGGCTTCTTTCTACAAGCACTGGTGGCGGGGGCCTGCCTGACGGCTTTGCCTGGCACAAGCCCACGCTCGGCTGAGGGCCAGGCTGAAGTGCCCGCGAGCTAATGACTGATGACGGACGGAAACTGGATGCCGAGCCTGTTTCCTGGCCCCTCACGTGGGACACTGTGCTGGCACGTCCTGGTCACTCTCCGGCGTCTCCAGCAGCTGGGGCCCATTTGCTCACGGCTTTAACCAGCTGGTGACAGCGCCCCCTGCTCCTGCTCCTTTTGTCCCTGTCTCATTTTCCCACCCCCCGACCCCACCCACCGTCAGAGCTTCCTGGGTCGCCTCCCAAATAAACAACCTGCTCTCAAATCCTCGTCTCCGGGTGCTTCTGGAGGAGCCCAACCCAAGACGTACCGGGCCTTCCAGACCACGGCTCACGTGCCCCGTGGCTGTGGGCGCTTGGTGGGATGCTTTGAGGGAGCGCCGTGTCAGGTGACTGTCCGGCTTCTGGCCTTTGCCGACTCGAAGGAGTGTGACGTCGTGTAAAGACCACACACGTTTGGGGGTCCTGCAACGGGGAACCGTCTGGGTAGAATATCGACCCCGTTTCTCTTCCGTGTTTCTGAGTGCCGTGGGATTCTGACAGCTGGGTCTCACAGTCAACGGAGGGCGGCAAAGAGGGTGTTCGATTTCTAGGGGAACTTTGTGATTTTTGTCAGAGGATTGTCGCACGAACAAAGGCTTGACGACTGGGGAGTGTTTGTTTAGTCTTGGGGTCTATTAAAGACGGGGTAAAAAACTCACTAAATGGCTGTTTTTTTCAGGTACCATTGGGGGAGATTTGTATATAGAGAGAAATAGAAGAGATGGGGGGAAGGGGGGAAAGAGGGAGAGAAGCAGAATTTCTTTACAACTGGTCTTTTTTCCATTAGAACGTTTCTCAAATATTGCATCGATGGTCAAAATCGTAATTACAAAGTTCAGACGCTTTGGCCCATTTGAGAGCTCCGGGATCTGAGTCTCCAGGGAAATCTTTATTTTAAATAAGTGATGCTGATGTTGGAGGCCCAAGGACCAAACTTTTAAAAACAGTGACCTAGACCTCGCGGCTGGGCTCCTAGTGACAGCTGTTTACAGAAGGTCATCCGCCGTCCACGAAGCGCCGAGCAGGACCTGGCCCTCGGCCTCTCAGGGAAGGCCTCCGGCTGCTCCGGTCCGCTGTGACAATGACCAGCGCTCCTGTCCTCCTGACAGTTTTGGGGGGCTGAGGGACCCCCAGGACTTTTCTTGCTGTTCTGGTGGGCGGGAGAGCAAACTGCTCCCACCCGCCTTCAGCACGGAGGTCCCCGGTCCTGCTGGGGACAGGGAGGTCGGAGACCGTGGCGAGCGGGAAGGACCACCAGCCCCACGGCTGCGGCATGAGCTGCCTGAACCTCACCCTCTTGGCATCAACCAGAGTCACCTGCGGATTTGTTCGCGGGGGCCTCGTGGCACCGATGGGGAGTCCCTGTGCCGTGAGCAGCAGTGGCCACACAGCTCCTTTGATCCGTGCCATTATTTACCTGTCATTTGTCTGTGAATGATCTCGTTTGTCACGTATCTATTCCAGCTTACGAAGGAAACTGAACAGCTCCCCCCCGTATGTTAGAAACCAGCCCCAACTGCCATAAATAGAATAACGATACAGATACGGTACATACAAAGACACCCCCGAAAATGCCGAAAGAGAGATGAGCAAGTGCTGGGCTTGTGGAAAGCAAACTGCCCCGAACAGAGCTTGTCTTCGGAGATCCGAAGGATGGAAAGGAATCGAGAGGCGACGGTCTTTTCCCTGAGGTTCGAAGCTGCAGGCTCCCACTGAGAATCATCATGGGGACGTGAGTGGGGTGATTGTTGGTTCACGGGGGCTGTGGGAAGTGGTCCGGGCGGGACCCTCTCTCTTGCAAGGGCCATTTTGAATGCGGCTGTGAGTGGGCTGGACACCCCCATGCTCAGGCTGGCCGTTGGTCAGACGGGGTTCACCAAGGTCAACCATCGAAACGGCGTCTGCTTGCCAGGGCAGGCCCGGGGAGAAGTGGCAGGGTGTTGGGGCCGATGCTTTATGACGGGGCTGGAGGTGTGCACAGCGACAGCCCTCTGCTGCCCTTTGCCGCCGGGCCTGGCATGACCGTGAGCCTGGAGACGGGGCCTGTGTCCCTGCCTCCACACTGGACTAAGGTGGCAGCATCTCAGGGGAGGGGCTGGTGCTCTCGGCCTGCGCCTGGCACCCTCACCTGAGGGGCTTCCGGAGCTGTGTGGGAGGGGCATGCTGCTGTCCAGCCTGTTCCACGGGGCTGCTGGGAAGGCCTTAGCTGACCTGGAATTTCTGGAAGAGCCATCTATACATCCTGAAGATGCGAGTTCCGGAGGAAGCCTCTCCTCGCCAAGGTGACAGTGTGTGTGTAGGGAGCCCTGGGGGGCCAGGGCAGCAAGTAGAAGGGGCTGAGTAGTGACACTGAGTGACATTGGGTGGACCTGACAATGACCGCCATCAGGAAGCAGTTCAGAATTCTGAACTCGACTCTCAAATGGAAGGAGACTCCGGGCTGTCCTCAGCCCCTCCCAGCCAACACCAGTAAAGCTCTCTGTCCAGACAAGGTCCCGGTGTCGACCTCCCGTGAGGGTCAGTGAAGCTCAGAGGGGAGAGCGTGAGTTCGGGAGGCGGGTTGCTCACGCTGCAGCCTTGGGTAAGGCACTTTGCCCTTCGATGTCTCAGCTGCTGTGACCTGGGAAAGAGACAGACAATAACAGCAGCCACCTGGCAGAGCTGTCGCCACTACCTTCCCCACCCAGCCCCGCCCGACTTCAGCAGGT